CATGGAGAGGAAAGGTAGAGTGGACCTGGTATAGATTACAAGAGCTAACTCTGCTTTCCCCCTTCCAGCAGAGTCCTGAAGGTGGAACGAGGTATAAAGATACATGCTGATTTCTAAGATCAGTCATTCCAGAGTGGAAGTGCATCATCTGGACCTCTGAGCACCTTGCTAGGGTCCCCTGAGCCGCAGTGATGGACGATAACAGAATAGAAATTGATGGAGGGCCATTGACGCTCAAGGCCAAATGACGCTGAGCGATGTACCAAACTTACCTGGGAGTCAGAAAGACTGGGGAAGCTAGCCAAGAAAAGACCCAAAGAGCAGAGCTGGTAGACCCCCAAAGCCTGGGGCTTGAGTTGATGTGTGTGCATATGAAGACCGAGGACATGACAGGACCTTGGGCACTTCAATGAAGGGGCAGCGAGGACAGAAGCCAGTGACTCAGCAATGGAAGGCTCACATCCAAGGACCAGATACAACAAACTACATTGTCAAGATTTCTAGAACAGGAGTGGGACAGATCAAGAGGGAGAAGCAGATGCAAACGACAGTCCCTAAAAGTCGGGATTTGCCTCCCTTAACTCAGTTGCCATCTGGGGTGGAAAGAGAGGGGTAGGAGAGAGTGTTTAAATACTCGCAAATTGATCGAGTTTTAAAACTGAAAGTGACTATATTAAGTTGCTGCAAACCAGGCGGAAGGGGGCTTTAATATAACTTTTCTTTTTTTTTTCTTTTAGATTTATTTACTTATTTATTTGAGAGAGAGAGAAGGAGAGAGAGAGAGAGGAGGGGCAGAGGGAGAGAATCTTCAAGCAGTGAGTGTGGAGCCCAATGCAGGACTCGATCCCACGACCCGTGAGATCACAACCTGAGCAGAAACCAAGAGGTGGATGCTCAACCGGCTGAGCCAGCCAGGCACCCCTTTAATATAACTTTTTTAAGCTTTAGGAAAAGATAGTTACATTTTGCTCCCCAGGGACCATGACTGTGAAATTTATACCTGCCCCAGAACATGAGAGGCCACAACTTTGTTTCTACAGATGGGGAAACTGAGGCCCGAGAAGACAGATGGGTGGTTCAAGGTGATACTGCCGCGCAGGGGCACAGCAAGGAGGACAACGCAGATCTCCTGAATCTTGTTCCGGATGCCCAGCAACAGGGAATTACCGTCCTTTGTCTATCTAATTCTTGCAGAAAGTACTGAGCCTCATGGATGGAGCAAATGTAAGACAATGTCTCCCTAACTTTTTGTTAAAAATAGTGTTAAACTGAGATGCCAAGTTTTAAAAGCTCTCGACTCTCCCATGTCAGCCAAGTAGCATGGGACATAGATCGAAATGAGCATCTTTGGTTAGTGAATGTCATCTTCCTTCCCCCCTTCCCGTTACTATTCCTGACAGTATAAAATCCCTCCTGGGTGGTTGTAACGACTGTAAGGCATAGGGAAGTAATCAGAAGGGCTGGGTGGGATAGAAGAGGTGGCAGCTGGAGAAATGGCTTATTTTGACAAGAGCACTTAGGCAGCAGGTGGGAGATAGATGGAGAAAGAAGGAGAGGCAGCCAAATTTCCACGCTCTGATGATTACATCCCCGAGGAACAGTGCAGCTCTTCTGAGGCGTATCCTTCCACAGATGCAGGAGACAGCAAAGCACAGAGCGACTCAGAATGTTGGTGTCTGGCACCATTAACCAGGTGCTGCTGATTCAGATCTGACACAAAGCGACTCATTCGTGCCCAGCCAGACGAGCTCCAGTGTTCCTGCTGGAACTGACCAGATTCCAAGTCATCCACCTGATGTCTTCCTGTGTGGGTGCTCCATTTAAGAACGAGTCCTACCTCTCTCCATCCAGCTCAGGTAGCCCAGGATCCCTGAGATTCTGCTCATGATGGTTTCTAATACCATCAATCTGTCGGCAGTACCTTGAACTTAGAAACTGAAAGTTGAAATTCCCACCTGGAACTGTGTCTGCTCATGCAGTCCCGGGGGCTTCAAAGGGCAGAAAAGAACAGAGGAGAGACAGTGTGGTGTAGGAAATGAGAGCATAAGTTTGGATTTGGCAGACCCAGATTCAAGTTTTGGCTCTGTCTTTTCTTAGGTCTGTGACATTGGGCAGGCTGCTTATCATCTCCGAGACTTATTTTCCATTTTCTGTAAAATACAGTTTTTGTCATTGATAGTAAGTATAAAGAAGCATTTATCTGATGCAAAGTAAATATGGGAACAATGTTACCTGGTGTTGCCTCTGTAGCAATTCATCTCCCCACTCACAAGGGCTACCCGGATGTGCTAAGAGGGTTCCAAACTAGAGTGCATACTTTTTAGTATGCCCCGCCCCTTTCACTGGTTACCCTATATGATAATCATGTCCTGCACATTTACAGCTTCAACTGGATTTAAGAACTGTGTCTTATTCACCTCTGGATTCCTAGTGCTCAGTGGAGCAGACAAATCAATAATTAAGAGAGTGGACCAATTGTGGTGTAGAAGATTTCTTAGAGTTTTATTTCTGATTATGGCACTTGAAGGAAGAGAGGGTATATGGCATCAGCCTTGGGGGATTTGTTTGGGGGATTTCACTCAGAAAATTAGTATGCTTATTTCTCCATGGAAAAAGGATAAATAAGGCAATGTTATGTTTTGGTTTAAGATATGCAATAAATCAGAGACAACTTCAGAAGCAACATGTAGGCAGAGGATTGGTTGATTTCTGGGCACTAAACTAGACCTCCCCAGATACTGGCAGCAGGGTCTACAGTAATTAAACTCTGCTCCTTTTCCTAAGTCTTTGGAGGAAATAAGCCACTAGGAGTTAAGATTCTCTGTTTGGTATCACAGCACTGCTGGAGATGGTGAAAAAGGAGCTGAGAACAGAGACAAAGAGGCAAAGTCCAAGCCCTAGTTGGGGGATGGGGTTGGAGATTTTCGGGTTGCTTCGTGGTACTTTGAGACCTCACTTGACTTTAATGACTTCCTTTGTAAGAACAAGACAAGCAGACAAGACTGGGGGCCCAGTAGCATCAAGAGTTGATTCCCGAGGGATGTCCAAGATCACACCTGTCACAATCACACCACATGGAGGAGTGTGGACCCTGCCCTTGGTCAGGGGTAGGTTGGAAGGATGGCTGGTCAGGTGTCACAGCTTCTGCTTTGTCTCCTTCTTCAAAGGGCTTCTTTCTTTGTTTTTAAGAGCGTAGTGCTAAGACCATTCCTACACCAGGATGGCAGGGAATGACCATGAACCACATAAACATATCTACTAAACCCAAACTAAATGTATCTTCAACTCAACTTCTCCTTAGGTTGGAACCTCAAAATGCTCTTTGTGCCTCCAACATGAAGTATGATGGAGGGGAGGTTGGAATGCAAAGAAACAAGATTCAACCAATAGCAATTCAAATATCTTGCTTTTGAGAATTTTACAAAACTATTTGGCCATTTTCTTCTCCAGGTCCTTGGAAGGGGCCTTTGCAAGTAAAGGGTCCCAAAGTTTACCTTTCATTAGCTTTAGAGTGAGTTAGTTTCTGGGATATTTTATTTATTTATTTTTATTTATTATTTTTAAATTAAAGATTTTTTTAAGGGGTGCTGAGGTGGCTCAGCCAGTTAAATGTCTGCCTTCAGTTCGGGTCATGATCCCAGGGTCCTGGCATTGAGCCCCGCATGGAGGCCCACATCGGGCTCCCTGCTCAGTGGGGAGTCTGCTTCTCCCTCTCCCTCTGCTGCTCCCCTTGCTCATGCTCTCTCTCTGTCAAATAAATAAAATCTTTCTAAAAAAGATTTTTAAAAATGATTTTATTTATTTATTTATTGAGTGCGTGAGTGAGTGAGTGTGAGCAGGGGGAGGGACAGAGGGAGAGGAAGTGTGAGAATCTCAAGCAGGCTCCGTACTGACTGAGCGCAGAGCCCTACTCTGGGCTGGATCTCATGACCCTGAGATCATGACCTGAGCCCAAATCAAGACTCTGATGCTTAAGTGACTGAACCACCCTGGGACCCCTGGGATATTTTAAATTGCAACCTGCCCCCTACACCCGGAGCACCTCATTCCTCTTATTCCCTTTTCTTATTTCCATAGCACCACTGCCCTCTAGGTACTGTATAATTTACTCATTTATTATATCTACTTCTGTTAGAAGGTATAGAATGTAAGTTTTATGAGGGCAGGCATTTTATTTTGTTCACTGATGTTTCTCAAGTGCCTAGAAAAAGGCCAGGTGCATAGTAGATGCTTCAGAAAGAGTTGTGAATAAAAGAATGAAATAAATAATGCATAACTGAGTGAATGAATGATGTAGCTAATCTACAATTGGAAACTGTAAAATTTGAGTTCTATTTCAGACTCTGACCCTTAACCTTGGCCAGGTCCTTTAGACTTTCTGTGCCTGTTTCTTCGTGTATAAAATTCGGTGGTTATTTATTCGTTCAATTAATATTTATTGCAACACAACACAACATGGTCAAGAGGATACAATGATGCTTCATAGCATTCAAATCCTACTACTTCTTGCAGAGCGTAGAACTCCGAGACTTCAAAAATCCCGCCTCTTTCAAGCCCCGCCCACCAGCCATGTTATTCTTTAGGCTCCTCCCCGGTTCAGCCCAGCCGGCTGCCTGTGTAGAGGCCCCGCCTCCCCTCGGCGCAGTCATCCAATGGCTAAGATACACGGGTAGGTGAATGCCGGGGAGCTTTAGGTGTCCTCTTGGCGCCTGACCAGAGTCTTGAGGAATTCAGTTCCTCTTGAATAGTCGCTTCCCCGAGTTGTCCCTGCGATATGCAAGATCACCCTCTCCCCCAAGTTCGCTCGGAAGGGTCGGACAAGGCTCCTGAGTCCCCTCGCTGCCCTCCCTAGAAGCCCTGGGTCTTCACTGGACGAGCCTTTCGCCCCGCAGCATTCTGGGAGTGGTAGTTTTCTTCTTCCCTGTTCCTTCCAGGTGGACTGGTGGCTAAGATTCGCAGAGAACTACCATTCCCGGGCGCCCGAGCGAGTTGCCGGTCACGTGACCCGCAAGGACGCGGAGCTGGTAGGCGGGGGCCGGGTCGGGCCGGTGCTCCGCCGCTGTCTGTGACACCCGGGGCGGGTGGGCAGACTCGGCCCCTGAAGAGCCCACCATGGTGCGCGCGGGCGCCGTGGGGACGCATCTCCCGGCGTCCGGCTTGGACATCTTTGGGGACCTGAGGAAGATGAACAAGCGCCAGGTAAGGGAGGCCCGCGCGGGGGGCGCGCCCCGGAGCAAGAACCGGCTGCAACTGCGGGGAGTCGGGGCTTTCTGGGTCGGGCTCCGGGAAGGACAGCGCCCGGCGACTGGGGCCGACGGCGCCCCCAGGCTCCCTCACCGGCTCTCAGAGGCCCTGGGTTCAAATCTGCGCGAACCCACGTGTGGGCACTGGTGTGCGCTGTCTTGACTGACAAGAGCGCCGTGAGGGGAGGGTGGCCGGAAAGGAGAAGAGAATCGGAATCTAGTGTGGTTGAGCAAGCTAGGAGAGGTGACTCGGCCGTGAGTGACAGCTGTCTGCACGTGTTTGAAGGGCCAGCCCCTGGAAGAGGCTCTGGAGGCCTGACACCCCGAGGAAGGCTGCCCCCGGATGGAAGGGGCGAGAAGGCAGGCGAAAGGAAAGAACTTTCTGACAGTGGAAACTGTCCAGTAATGCCTTCCAAAGTAATTTCTTCGCATTCTGGGACGTGTTCTCCCCACTATGCATCGGGACTAAATAAAGCTCCTTGTGCCTGGCGATCTCACTGGGGATGCTCAGTCGTTTTTAGACACAGGGTTCCAGAGGGGACCCCAGAAGTCTTCCCTAATTTCTTAGATTCTGTCATCTGGCTACACCTTGAATATAGGAAGCAGTTAGCATGGGGTCTCTGGGCAGCTGGGGTTGATTTCTCACTCTTCTGTGACCTCAGAGGAAAGCTTCCTTTTTGCTCTCTCCTTGGTCAGCTCCTTGGCCAGCATCGCTGTCTTTGAGTCTTCAATATAAGGCTGAGTAGGGACTGGAAAGGAAGCCCTCTCAGCCAGGAAAAATGCGATTGCTTAAGCTTCTAGATAGAGAATTTAGGGGACCTGTAGGCATGATAGATCCTAATGGATCCTAATACTTTTACTGGTATGAATAATAAATTATGCTAAGAAAAATGGAACCATCCTATTGGTAATTTTGATCGTCTTTGAAAATGGTATAGGGGCTCCTGGATGGCTCAGTGGGTTAAGTGTTCAACTCTTGATCTAGGCTCAGGTCAGAGTCCCAAGATGGAGCCCCATATGGGGCTCCCCGTTGGGCATGGAGCCTGCTTAAGATTCTCTCTCCCCCTCTTCCTCGGCTCCTCCCCTCCTCCTCCCCCCCCCCCCCCGTGCTCTCGCTCTCTAAAACAAACAAAAACACTTAAAAAGAAAATGGTATAAATTATTATGATTTTGACACATCCTGTCATTTTTGCCACTATATTGTGGAGTGGGATGATGCCTACGGCATAGCACAACTTACGCCTGTGGACATATGGGTTTTTTGTTTTGTTTTGTTTTGTTTTGTTTTGTTTTGTTTTGTTTTCCAAAAAGAATTTCATGCTAGTGCAGTAGTGTGGGAGAGCTTGGTGACTCAAGTCACCAAGTCTAAACTGTTGTTTAGAATCTGGTTGTTTCTAGGTGTGCATGGCTGATGAGCTCTTAGGAGTTTCTGTGATTAAGACGAGTTGTGGCAGTGATTATCACCAGCTTGAAAAACCAACAGCTAATTCCTTGAGCACTGATGCTGTTCCCAAGAAAATCCTCCAGAAAATAGAGCTTTATTTTAAAGTCTAGACTTAATTGGCTAGGTTTTCAGAATGTCTCTAAAACTGGTACTGATTACTGGTGGTTATAATTGCAGACTATCAGAGAAGGCCTTCTGATGAATGTCTCAACTCCTAAACTGGTTTGCCTTTTCACAGGTCTGTGTATTCCCACTCTCGGTGATAAGGCCTGTCCGTAGCTGTTGCATTGTCTATGTTTTGCTAGTTTTCTAATTAAAATGCACAAGTTCAAATCTGCTTCCTCCTGGTACTTTCTTTCTTTTTCTTTTAAGCTTTGTCCTTTTCTTTCTTTTCCCCTCCAAAATAGCATCCTCTGACACCTTGTCAGGCATGCGTGCTCCGCCAGTCTCGGAAGTGGGACCTCCTTTCTCTGCTGCCCCAGCTTGCTATAAAGTAAGGCAAGAGCCACACGCAAAAACAAGGACTCTTTGTTTCTGCAGTGAGGAAGAGAGGAAGGAAGAAATACAGCTACTGGCATTTCTGCTGCTTTGTCGGCCAGAATATCGGGTCTGAAACGTTTGTTTGAAACTCTCAGACATTGGCTGTTTCATCTCTGGTTGACAAAGACTGAGTGTGCGCTTGCTTCTGAACTTTTGCTTCGGCTATGAATTGCCGAGCTTAGAAAGTTGGGAGGTGAAGATGGACGAACAAAAGGCACCAGTGAAACGTGGCGGTGTATCTCTTACATCCCCATCAGTCTGTCCAGTAGTTCAACCAAAATTATGTTTCGGAATTCTGGGATTTTAATCCCATACTCATATTAGTAGGTTCCTTAAAGGTAGGGTGTTGAAGTAGGATCTGCGGTTTTGCAATTAGCTTGTTAGGTTTTTGTATAATCGGTTATTTTTTTTAGCCAATAGGCGTCTTGCTCAAAGGACTTTTTTTTGAGGAATTGATTTTACTTCCCCTCGATGAATTTTTCAAGCATAGAAAATCATACTGGAAAAAATATTTTTAGCACTAGGCCTTTATTACATAAATGGCAAGGTTTTATACTTTGCTTTTATCAGGGTGGAGCCCAGTGGTTTGAAAATCTGTCTAAAAATGACAATTTCTGTTTAAAACTGTGGTTTGGGGCTTTCCCAGTCAGATCTGTAATTCATAATGGAACAACATTTATTTATCAAGTCCTTCAAGTCTGGCAGAGCAGGTGGAGAAGTTTTCGAATGCGAGCTACAGTGAACAGCCTCTGCTTTAGACTGATGTGCCTTGCAAGGTGGATTTTACTTCGGAAGCAACAATGTAATGTATTATAGCCCAGTGCTTTAACAGTATCCGCTTGGCACTCCAGTTTCCTTCTTTGTCTTTTGGGGATTTAGTGATAGTTTCATAATTTGCTCTTGACACAGTAGCCAAAGAGTTTTTTTTTTTTTTTTTAATGGTGTGTAACTTTAATTTTGAATTACATTTATCTTCTTTTCAATTATTACATCAGAATAGCTTCATGGTAATTTTTTTAAGGTTTTATTTATTTATTTGAGAGAGAGAGAGAGAGAGAGAGAGGAAGCGGGAGAGTGAGAGTGAGCAGGGGTGAGGGGCAGAGGGAGAAGCAGGCTCCCCGCTGAGCAGGGAGCCCCATGCGGGGCTCCATCCCAGGACCCTGGGATCATGACCTGAGCCGAAGGTAGACACTTAACCGACTGAGCCACCCAGGCGTCCCACTTCACGGTTATTTTAATTCATTTTTATGTCCCCACTTTCAGTTATTTCCTCCATAAATACCTGGAATGACATAATTTCACAGACGTGTAATAGGAGCAGTATGAGCTCTGCTTTTCCTACCTTACTGCCACGTCAGACTGCGTGTTCCTGTTTTGTCACACTCCTCAAAGTAATCATTTTAACGGCCGTATAACATTCTGTCAAGTTCCTTTAAACATTTGTTTTCCCCCGACTTTGGAATTAGTTCATGTCCATCACAGACATTTTAAAGAATAGAGACTAGTGTAAAGAAGAAAATTCAGTCACTCATAATTCCACCATGCTAACATGGCCTCTGTTGGCCTTTGAGGGCACCCCCTTATGTTCGTTCTACAAACTGTTTTGCGGTTTGTGGAGATTCTACTGCAGCCTACACTTTTGTTTTAAATAGTGCAGTTACTTGCCATTATTTTACTCAATCATTTCTCTGTTGTTGCTCATTTATTTCCTTTTCTCTGTTCCTAGAAATAGGACCATGATGCGTATTGTTGGGCCATAATTCCCTATCTGCCTTTATTGTAGACGAAATTCCTAAAGTAGGATTACTGGGCCCAAAGTAATCTCGTGATTCTAGTGCCAGATTGCTCTCAGAATGACCGGGTCTGCCTCCTTTCTCACCACAGTGCACCCTGGGCCAGCACCGAGTATTAGCATTAAAAAACAAAAACCAAAAAAACCCCCCCAAACTTGAAGTTTGCTAGGCATAAAAAAGAAGAGGGGAGGAGGGAGGGAGGATTGGATTTGAACACTCTAAGTGTTTATTCACCACTTGTATTTCTTCTTTGGAAAAGTAATAGTTTTAAGCTTTTACCTCTTTTGTTGTTGTTGTTTTGGGGATTTTAGTGTTTTTCTTACTAATTGTTTGTGCCCACCATATATTAAAGATGTTTATTTTCTCACTATTTACTCAACAAATTGAGTACTTACTTTTTGCCAGACCTGTGTTGAACTTTGGAGGTACAGCTGTGAACCAGGCCAAAATGATCTTTGCCTTTGTAGAACATACAGTCTAATGTAAAAGACACATTAAAAATGATATGTATAATTATAGTGATGGACGGTATAAAGAAGTGCAGAATGCAGTGAGAATATGTAACAGGAGGACCTAGGCTGGTCTACAGCAGAGTAGCAAGCTCCAGCCCACCATCTGTGTTTGTTTGTTTGTTTAGAGACTTGGGGGATGGGAGGTAGGGTTGGGGGAGGGGCAGAGGGGAGAGAGAGAATCTGAGGCAGGTTTCATGCTCAGCGTCCAGTGCAGGGCTCAATGTCAACGTTCCTGAGATCGTGATCTGAGCCGAAATCAAGAGTCAGACACTTAACCGACTGAGCCACCCAGGCACCCCCCACACCATCTATTTTTATAAATAAAGTTAATTGGAACACAGCCATATTCATTCTTTTACCTATTGTCTTTGGTTGCTTTCTCGCTGCAATGGCAGGGTTGAGTAATTTCAACAGACTATATGGCTTGTAAAATACTTATTATGTGGTCCTTTATAGAAAAAGTTTGCTGACTCCTTGTCTAGTGGGTCCGGGAGGGCTTCCCTGGGGAACTGGTGCCGAAAGTAGGATTTAAGATAAGTGAGCATTACGTATGCTAAGGAATCTAGGGAGAGAGCCTTTGGGCAGAGTAAATAGCCAGGTAAAGATCCTGGAGTGGATAGGAGCATGTGCTCGCTGAAGCACTTGACAGATACCGCTATCGTACCTGGAGTGAAGTGAGCTTCACCAGCTGAAGCTAGGGAGTAGGGGGATGTACCAGACAGGGCCATAGAGACCATATTCATCCTCAGAGTAGTGGGATCCAATTGAAGGGGTGCAATCGAGGGGCAGTTGAAGCAGGGCATAGAGATGATCAGATGGCCAGAGGTGCCTTTGCAAGTGAGTGTAGAGTATAACGTGGAGGGTGCATTGACAGAGGTGTGTATGGACGTCAGGAAACTGGTTAGCAGGCTCTTGCAGTTGCCCAGCGGGCTCTGTTGGTGACTTGGATGAGAGTGGTGCCAATGGGAAAAGAGAGAATGCAACAGATTCCAGAAATGTTTAGAAGGTAGAATGTATAGAACGAATTGGGAGGGGGAGTGACAAGAGTCCTGCCATGTAGGTGAGCACATATGGCAGAAGAACAGGTGTACATGGGCAGGTAGAGGGGGATAACTGAATTAGAGACGTGGGGATTGAGCAGTTTCAGTTCCAGGCATGTTGAGAGTGGTTGGTTCAGGTGGAGGGAGAAGGACTTTGGAGATGAGGATGTCTAAGAATTGAGACACGAAAGTGTTGGGTAGGCCGTCTCCGTGGCTCTTCAGATCACCCAGACAGAGGGGTTGTGAGGAGGAAGACTTGAGGCAGGTACTAGAGTAAGGAGCCATCCTGGAGGGCACTAAGGGCAGATGCCCTGCGGGACTTACATTCCAAGTAGTAGTAGGCACAGTGACTTTTGTCCCTACAGCCTCTTGGAAGACTGTAAACATCTGGCCCAACAATCCAGCTACAGTCCGATATAGGGTGTTGTGAGGTAGGCACGTGTTGCTCCCCCTCCCCCCCCCGCCGCTGTAGTCACCAGGGGTTGTGTGTGGCAGGCAACTGTCAGCAAGGAAGAGCCTTGAGCTTTGGCAGGACAGGCCCTGTGGATCTTAACTCAGTGGTCTAAGGTGGAGCAAGATCAGCTTAGAACTAGATATCATCTTGTGTGGCTTTCTGCCTATGTTCTTAACCAGATATTGTTTGCTTTTTACCTTTTAAACATTTATGGAAAATTTAAACATCCAGGTGTTTAAAGTTTTTGTTCACTTTGCAATGTAATTTCAGATGCAGAACAGCCTCGTTGCAAAGTACTATAGGACTCTGAAGCCTCATTTGAGGTCTTTGGCCAGGTGGCTATGGAGTGGTTCTAGGTAAATCACACTGCGTGCATTAGGCTCTCAGGTCTGATGGGTAGTCTCTACACTAGAGCAGGAGGCCCTTGGGGTAGAACTTGAATAACAGGACTCTTCAGGGTTGAAGGTTCTGGGAAATCCCAGAGAGGTAAGTAAGTAGAGTCTTACCGAAGCTTTAACAAAGTAGGTCCCATGGATTGCTCTGGGTTTTTTTCTCTCATTGCTCATTGAAAGAGAGACAATATACAGAAGACTCATTCCATGGACAAAAGTTGAAATACTACCTGAGTTTGCAGTTTGTGTGAATTAGCTTCATATCCTAAAATCACAACTTAGCTTTTGGTTTGGTTTTGTTTTGTTTTGTTTGTAAACAGACTCATCTCCAGCTTAGGGTTTGTGCATACTCTTCCATTGGTTTTCACTTTGGGTTTGGCCTTTCTCGTTCCAGCTCTATTACCAGGTTTTAAACTTTGCCATGATCGTGTCTTCTGCGCTTATGATCTGGAAAGGCTTGATCGTCCTCACTGGCAGCGAGAGCCCGATCGTGGTGGTGCTGAGGTACGTGCCGCACACTGTCTTGCCGCCGTCACGCTCCTGCCCGCGACAGAGGAGCAGTGTTGCCTGAGCGAAAGCCTGCGTGACAGCCAGCGCTCAGTATTTTCACTGGGTAGATTATTAGAGTTTTCTTTGTTGAAACCTGTTTTCATTTCGTTCTGATCTTTGTTGAAACATCTCACCTTTTTCAGCACACGCTTTGGAGCTTTGATCGTGGGGATGCTAATGCCCCAGTACTGTATATTTGCTTTTGCATTTTAATGCTTTAATGCACCTAAAATAACAATCTTATGTGATTATTTGTGTACAAATTGATTTTAAACATAAGTAATTTAAAACTGTGATTTAAAACTGTGATTTGGTTGTCTTTGTACCAGACAGGGAAGTGTATCTCCCCAGTGCCCAGCAGAGTGTGCTGTGTTGTTTCAAGCATCTTCCGCAACACTGTTGTACGGGGCTGCTCTCTTCCTGAGACTAGTATCTTCTAAAGCACAGGACGTTAATTTAAGAAAAGTTAATACTTTAATTAACTTCATATAGCCATAAAGTCATGCAAGGGGGGGGGAAACGTAATCAGTTTGAAATCAAAGAAACATGTTGGGGAGCCCTTAGGTGCTTCAAGATGCTCTCTGTCCAACGTGGCCTAGACCATCAAGCCTTGTGGGGCAGGGCGGGGGTGGGTGGGTGATGGAGCCCGTGTGCTTTACAGGGGGAGCGGTAGGCTGTAGCAGTGACCGGGCAGGGTCACCGCTGGCCCGTGGAGGAGCCAAGGTCAGCACTCAGGGTTCGTGCCTCCCAAACCAGTGCCCTTTCCCTCCACTGGGCCTTGCTGCCGTATCATGGGGCTTCAGCCATGGCCCTGGCTTCACCAGGTTGCCCTGGTGTGGCTGGCCAAGGGGCCTATTCTAGAGAGACACTGCTTTCATAAATTTAGGAGCCTTAGGAGAGCATGCAGGTTTCTGATTCACTGGTGTGCACGCTGTGCTCTAGGAGTGCCCTGGGGTCCAGTGGATAGGTTAGGAGGGAGAAGGGGAACAAATGCATGGATTCTAGATACCTCAGCCTTGTTTCAGTTATAACAGCTCTATTTTTATGTATTGTATATGGATATGCAGCCTGGTAAGATTTCATTCGAAGGAAGGATTTTAAGGCTTTTTTTTTTTTCATTAGAAATTAAAAACCTCTGGGGCGCCTGGGTGACTCAGTCAGCTAAGCATCTGCCTTCGGCTCAGGTCATGATCTCGGGGTCCTGGGATCGAGCCCCGCATCGGGTTCCCTGCTCAGCGGGGAGTCTGCTTCTCCCTCTGCCCCTCACCCCGCTGTGTGCTCCCCCCTCAAATAAATAAATAAAATCTTAAAGAAAAAAAAAAGAAATTAAAAACCTCTAATTTAGATGGGCCCTCCTACTTAACAGATAAAGAGCCTGAGGCCCATGAAGGCCAAGCCACTTGCATCTTACAGTTACTTTTGACAGAGCCCAAACTATATTCCAGATGTTCTGGTTTTCCTTTAATCACACAGACACACTTGTACACAGAAACTGTTGTAACAAAAAAGAAGTCTGTAGGGACTTCTTTTTTTTTTAAGCACGCTTTATAGTTCTAAATTTGGTTTGTCAACATAAACTGTTGACATCATGAGAGATGTGTGACCTCGGGGAACACTGACCTTTGGGAAATCCCTGGCCCGTGAGGAAAGCAAGTGTAAGTTGATATTAGTGAAACATTCCAAAGAAGTGCATTCCTCATGAGACATGATAATGACTCTTTTTCTTTTTTTTTCTTTTCTTTCTTTCTTTCTTTCTTTCTTTTGTAAAGATTTTATTTATTTATTTGACAGAGACAGTGAGAGAGGGAACACAAGCAGGGGGAGTGGGAGAGGGAGAAGCAGGCTTCCCGTGGAGCAGGGAGCCCAATGCGGGGCTCGATCCCAGGACCCTGGGATCATGACCTGAGCCGAAGGCAGATGCTTAACGACTGAGCCACCCAGGCGCCCCAACAATAATGACTCTTGATGACAAACTGTACTCTTCTGCCTCTGAGACTTATCCAGGAGGTTTTTCTAGTTGTAGTTCTTAACTGTTTGCTCTTTCTTTCCCTCATAGTCATTTATATTTTTAGCCCTCTCTCTGTTTTTTATTCAGACTTCCTATTTTTGAATGCTAGATCTATTATGATACTTAGTGTCACTGGTTTCACTTAAATAATAAACACATCAGCAAGTACTTAGTGACAGGCAAGTCTCCCCTGTGTTTCTCTTTGCTGATCTGCATGTGCTGACAAGTTTAAGGTGGTCCAGGGCCCGGAGGGACAGGAGGGCCAACTTCTTGAGCTGCTCCCATTTTGAACTCACATTTTCCTTTAAAGCACCCCATTTCTTCACTAGTCTGGTTCTTCCTCGCTGCATCCTGCCCTCAACTAACTTCTCAAAGGTTTTTGATCATACAGCCTCTATATTGCAATATTGTTTGGTCTTATTTATTTTCTCATGCATTATGACACAGCATGAGCATATAGAAAATGAATTCTGAATGGATTAAAGACCTCAGTGTGAGACAGGAATCCAGCAAAATTCTAGAGGAGAGCATAGGCAGTAACCTCTTCGACATTGGCCACAGCAACTTCTTTCAAGACATGTCTCCAAAGGCAAGGGAAACAAAAGCAAAAATGAACTTTTGGAACTTCATCAAGATAAAAAGCTTCTGCACAGCAAAGGAAACACTCAGCGAAACTAAGAGGCAACCCACGGAATGGAAGAAGATATTTGCAAATGACACTACAGATAAAGGGCTGGTATCCAAGATCTATAAAGAACTTCTCAAACTCAACACTTAAAAAACAAATAACCCAGTCAAAAAATGGGCAGAAGACATGAACAGACACTTCTCCAAAGAAGACATACAAATGGCTAACAGACGCATGAAAAAATGCTCAACATCACTAGCCACCAGGGAAATTCAAATCAAAACCATAATGAGATACCACCTTACACCAGTTAGAATGGCAAAAATTAACAAAACAGGAAAGAGCAAATGTTGGGAGGATGTGGAGAAAGGGGAACCCTCTTACACTGTTGTTGGGAACGCAGGCTGGTACAGCCACTCTGGAAAACAGTATGGAGGTTCCTCAAGATGTTAAAAATAGAGCTACCCTATGACCCAGCAATTGCACTACTAGGTATTTACCCCAAAGATACAGATGTAGTGATCCGAAGGGGCACATGCACCCCAATGTTCATAGCAGCATTGTCCCAATAGCCAAACTGTGGAAGGAGCTGAGATGCCCTTCAACAGATGAATGGATAAAGATGTGGTACATATATACGATGGAATATTATTCAGCCATCAGGAAGGATGAATACCTACCATTTGCATCAACACGAATGAAACTGGAGGGGATTATGCTAAGTGAAATAAGTCAAGCAGAGAAAGACAATTATCATATGGTTTCACTCATATGTGGAACATAAGCAATAGCACGGAGGACAATAGGGGAAAGGGGAGAAAACTGAAGGGGGAGAAATCAGAGAGGGAGATGAACCAGGAGAGACTATGGAGCCCGGGAAACAAACTGAGGGTTTCAGAGGGGAGGGGGGTGGGGGATGGGGTAACAGGGTGATGGGTATTAAGGAGGGCACGTGTTGTGATGAGCACTGGGTGTTATATGCAATTAATGAATCATTGAACACTCTATCAAAAACTAATGATGTACTATACAGTGGCTAACTGAACATTAAAAAAAAGGAAAATGAATTCTGTTTTGAGAATTTCAGCTTCTACTAGATTACAATTTACTTTGAATCCATTGAAGATTTTTGGCATGGGTTTAAACCAGTACCAGGTAGGATTATTTATTGACCTCCACATCAGAAGCAGTCAACATTTGTTAAAATTGGGCTTTCTGTAGAATACGGCCTAGAGGATGATGCCGCAGGAGTCCCAAGACTTGGGTTTGAATTTTGTCCCAACCCTCAGCTCATTTTTTGGGTAGATCACTCTTCTCAGGCATTCATTTGTTTGCTTCTCTTCCTTGAATGGGAGTGCCCACGTCCTAGGTGCTGGGGATGAGCCATGAAACGCAAGACTTGCCCTAGAGTATCAACCAGCTTCAGAGTCTGCACTTCTGAATGAAAATAGTAATGTATTTGTAGATGTAGGACCTTTTTTTTTTTGAGGCTAAAAATTGGCAGCTTTTACTTCAAAGTGTTCACATTATACCTGGTTCTTTTTCTACCTAATACAAAGTACAGTGGGGCCTGCAACTATCCTTTTCATACTTAATCTAAGAAGAAATCGTTTCCTTTCTCACTTGATGTCATCATCATGAGCAGTCGGAAGGGAACCACTGTGGCATGATTGATAGCTCCCAGACCTGCCTGACAAATGATGGAGGTGGAGACTTTCACTGATCCCTTTATTTTTGTGTTCTTCATGAATTGAAAAGTTCCCCTGTGAGCCCAGGCTAAATGGATGTGATTTTGTGTTTCTTCCCAGTGGCAGTATGGAGCCAGCCTTTCACAGAGGTGACCTTCTGTTCCTGACAAACTTTCGGGAAGACCCTATTAGAGCGGGTGAAATCGTGGTCTTTAAAGTCGAAGGACGAGACATTCCAATAGTTCACAGAGTGATCAAAGTTCATGAAAAGTAAGGTGACTTGACTTCTTTTTGGTGTTGTTTTATAAATTTTGGTAGCCAAATTTATTTATTTATTTTATTTATTCATTCATTCATTCATTCATTCCACTAGCACTGATTATTATCCAACTTTTTTTTCCCGTTTTTTTTCCTCAAGTTTTATTTGAATTCCAGTTAGTCAACATACAGTGTAATATTAGTTTCAGGTGTGGAATTTGTGATTCAATTTCGGTAGCCAGTTTTCATGGTTGAATAGAAAGTAGCAGATGCTCTGGATTATGCTCCTAGTCCTGCCGTTTACTAATTGGGTGAGTGTGGACCTGCTACTTTACCCAGTCTGTAAGACGGGCATGATAACATCACCATTTCCCACCATGACTCACAGGGCGAGTGTGAGAACTGAATGGACAGGTGTTTCCGGAAGCACTCAGTAACTTAAGTTGCACACAATGGGAGGTGGAATGTACGAGAACATAATCGTTATTTGAAGGAGTCTCAGAAAAAATCCAGTCCCGTTGCAGCCGAGGATGATGGTGATGTGAGGACTGTTTTCTGAAATGCAGAAAGCTGCCTGTTTCTCTGTGTCACTTCGGACCAAGTGGCATTCACAGCTGTAGCCTTAGCCCTGGATGGCGGCCCGGCTCAGGGTTCAGTCACTGCATGTTGTGCTTCAGTTCTCCCCGCACAGATAGTCTTCCTTTCCTCTAAATGCCAGTGGTGGCTTCTGAAGGCACTTTTTGGGAAGGAGAGACACTGACTTCTCCTTCAAATATATTAAGTTCCCAGGGGAGGGTACAGTCACGTGATTAGTGAAAATGTTACCTTCTCTATACTGGGTTATTCATTTACCTCTTGCAGCTTAGTGTAGCATTTTTTACCTGCCTGAGTTACGGAATTAAACTGACCGCTGTATTTGTGTTTTTTAAATAACAGGGCGTTTCTCATTGCGCGTGGGTGTGTGCGGGTGTGTGTACACACAAGTGTACTGTAACTATTTGTGTATCTCCAGTGTTAGGTTCCCATTCCATTCACTGCTTGCAGGGGTCCCCCAAGAAGTCGATATTTAAAATTGTCACCTTGCTTTGCTGTAAACATTGGAATGACCCTGTTCCTGTTTGCGTTGCGCTTGTGGGTCTACACGATGGGACTTGATGTCCACTTGTTAACTGACTAATAAAGAAATATGCATGGTTGTAATGTGACAGCTGACTTAAAAACAATTTCTACAGATGAAAAATTATTCAAAATTGAGGAAATAATGGTGATTTTCTGTAATTTGCATGAGTTGTGGGAGAGACTGCTTGGGGTTTTATCTTCTTGATTTCCTTTATAACCGCAGCTGCAAATCAGCTTGCTTCTTCTGGCGTGGTTTCAAATCTTTGTGGGCTTTTAATATTTTATCTAATTATAATAGTGCCTTTTTTCATTTGTCTTATTGAAAGAAGACCCTCTTTATAGCTCTGTAATATGCCGTAATGTTGTGTTTCTAGTGTCAAGGCTGTGTAAGCACCGGTTTAGAATGTTCAAAATTAATCCCATGGGTCTCTTTAACACACTGGTTTTATGCCATTTGTGATTCCTGTTTCTTTGCAAACCAGATTTTGTACCACTTTGCTCAGCACTGAAGGAAATAATGCATTAACATTCTGCATTTGGCAAGGAGAAGTAAGTTTGAGGAGGGGTAAGGGCACACCCGCATTGAATTAGCTTGTGCTCAAATCCATGTGATCTAGGACCACGTTCATGTGTAGAGGGAAGGGGAATATAATCCATGTTCACAAGTTGGTCTTTGAGGACTAAGAGAGTGAAGACAGTTGCTGGAAGCTCATCATTGCCTTGCTGGTGCCCTCGTGCTTTGCCATGCTTTTTGGTTATCAGGGTAACATGAGCATTTTAGAATTTGAGTCTGCAAGATCACCAGCAGACCTGTGTGTTAGTCGGATGGTTATCTGTAAGCAATCACCTTAGACCAGGAAAGATCTAGTTATTGTCGAATGCTCATCTAAATGCCCGTATCTGACTGTGACATGCTGGGTAAACTAATTGTTTTCTAATGATGCTGTGCTGAAAGTCATTTGTGAAAGGACATTATTTTGCTTTCTAGAGATAATGGAGACATCAAATTTCTGACTAAAGGAGACAATAATGAAGTTGACGACAGAGGCTTGTACAAAGAGGGCCAGAACTGGCTTGAGAAGAAGGATGTGGTGGGAAGGGCCAGAGGGTGAGCATTAACTTTTAAGTTATATAAGAGATTCAGGAACCAGAAAAATAGTAACAAAGAAACTAGGGGTGCCTGAGTGGGCTCAGTTGGTTAAGCGTCCCACTCTTGGCTTCAGCTCAGGTCATGATCTCAGGGTCGTGAGATCAAGCCCTGCATGGGGCTCCGTGCTGAGTGTGGAGCCTGCTGGGGATTCTCTCTCTGCCCCTTCCCCTCTCTCTTTCAGTCTCCCTCTTTCTCCCTCCCTCCCTCCCTCAAAAAAAAGTAAGAAACTAAGTGTATAAGATAATGGAATCACTTGTTGTAAGTAGTACAATTTGTACTGTGTACTGCATTTACTGTGTAAATACCACTCAGAACTAAAACTGAATGCAAGTATATTATCTATATCATTGGTTTAATTCTGTTTTAGAAAGAAATCGTCACCTAGAGATTAGTTATTTGTGGTTTTAAATAGCAATTACAAGAAATCCTCCCAGAGATAACACTCAAGGGAATATTCTAGACATTTCCTCTACCTATACAGATGTGTGTACTTATACAATATATAATTTTACATAGTAGAATTTTATTTTATTTTTTCACCCAACAAGAAGTTGGAAATAGATTTCTGTGTCAAATCTACACCCATGTATTTTTAAGTGGGTATGTACTGTTGTTCCACTGAGAATCATAAAATCCTAACTTAGCCAATCCTCTTTTGGTGGACAGACTATTTCCTGTTTTTCTCTACCAGAAACAGTTATGTGATAAATCTTTTAATATTCATCTTTGCATAATTGTTCCAGCAGTGAGTTCTGCTTCTGACTGTCACAGCAGAGCATGTATCCTTTTATTAAAAAAACAAAAAAGGCAATTCTTCCTCTCTCTTGGTGACTGTTTTTTATGTTTAACCTGTGTTAGAAGTGTCTTTTTTTTATCTTCTCTAAATCCCTCGAGCTGTTTAAGGCTGGAGAACCTGGTTACCATTTTCTAAGATTTAGCTTTATCAGTCAGATTGTGGTTTGAGGCCTCTGCTCACCTTCTAACTCCTTTACCCTATTGCGTTTCCACTGGAGTATCTGTGGGGAGAAGAGAGAGACTTCCAGCTAGTCAGTCCTCTATTTTTAGATGTCCTGGGGACAGGCTTCGTATAAAGGAGAGCTTGGAGCTGCTGATTTACATAGGACTGGTTGCCTTACCTGGAGCTGCTGATTTACATAGGACTGGTTTCCCCTTGGTGAGGTGAGGCTTGGGTCCTCTGACTGCATCTTTTTTTTTAAAGCTTTTATTTATTTATTTGTCAGAGAGAGAGTGCATAAGCAGGGGGAGGGTCAGGCAGAGGGAGAAGCAGACTGCCTGCTGAGCAAGGAGCCCGATTTGGGACTCGATCCCAGGACCCTGAGATCATGACCTGAGCCGAAGGCACTTAACCGACTGAGCCACCCAGGTGTCCCCACTGATTGCATCTTCTCATGAATTTTGTCAGGAGAATCATTGGCTAGCTTATGCCCCAGACCTTCTGTGTCTGTGATCATAATCATGTGGGTATAAATTATGGGACTCACATCTGTGTTCACTGCCCAGTAAGCCTGTTACATCTGGAAAGCCCCATGAAATGAAAATGATGATGGTTCTTCCAGTTACAAACTAACTCTTCATGTATTTTGAAAGTTTTCCCTAACGGCTGTCTTAATATAGGCTGTCTGGATGTGACTTCTCCACTGAAAAAATTAAAAACTAGTCTGATAGCAGTTGTTGGTTCCATTTGTACAAGTGGCTCAACTAATTATTTTATTTATTTTTTTAAAGGATTTTTTTTTTTTAAGATTTTTTAAATTTATTTGACAGAGAGACAGCCAGAGAGAGAACACAAGCAGGGGGAGTGGGAGAGAGAAAAGCAGACTCCCGCAGAGCAGGGAGCCCGACTTGGGGCTCCATCCCAGGACTCTGGGATTGTGACCTGAGCCGAAGGCAGACGCTTAACGACTGAGCCACCCAGGCGCCTCTCAACTAATTATTTTAATTCTGTTATGGTGAATGCAGCGAGTGAAGACAAGCAGCATCTCTAGTTGAAATCATGCGCTTGCTTAAAAAATCATCCTGCTGTTAGTCATGATCCTTTTGATTAAGAAAGCCTTTTGAGGCAGGAGTAAATGTTAGTTTTATAGCCCTAATCAAGGCTATTCCCAAGGAAGATTTGTGTCCTAAGGCTGATTTAGAGTGTTTTTAAATGTTGCTATCATCATTTTACAAACAATTTTTATATTTCTGGCTTTTCATCCCACAATTTAGGTTTTTACCATATGTTGGTATGGTCACCATAATAATGAATGACTACCCAAAATTCAAGGTAGGAATGTGTCTCTACGTCTGCATTAAAAAAATGTATATATATTGGAGCTTTTTGCACGTGCCGCTGTGAAGATGCAGTCTGTTTAAAATGTTTTGCTGGGTTTTTTTGTTTTTTTTTTTTGCAGAGTGTTTGTATTTAACTACGAATTAATATAACCATTTAAATTAACACTTAAATCAGTTATTTAAAATAGCTACTTTCATCTTTTGTGTTCATAGTGTATTCTAAAACGGCACCTCTGTATTTGTTGCTTTTTATCACGGAAATCTTTAGACATACAAAAAAAAGTAGTACAATAAACCCAGTAGTGATGATCTCTCAACCTCAATAAAAATGGTATCTATATTTTTTAAAAACCACTTGAAAAACAATAGGGAACCTACGCAAGAATGAGCAATGAATTAGCCGTGTTTGTTGGGTGCTTGATCCTTAGTCCATCAGTATATTTGGGAGGGGTTTAAACCATAATGTGGCATTGAGCAGCTAGTTTGGAGAACCAGGCAAGGGGGAAGAGGTCATCTTTTGATTCTGTCCTCAGTCTAGCACTGAGCAGACTTCATCTGAATACATTTATAGACCAAACTAATTTGTAGAGCTCACAGTAATTTCCCACTGTGTTTTCTTTACAGTATGCTCTTTTGGCTGTAATGGGTGCATATGTGTTACTAAAACGTGAATCCTAAAATGAGAAGAAGTTCCTGGGACCAGATCGAAATGAATTCTGTTGAAAAAGAGAAAACCTAATATATTTGAAATGTTCCACTTTCTGTATAAAAGGAAACAATGTGGAGACGTTTTTGTCTTGTCCAAATAAATGATTCATCAGTGAAGATTGTTTTCTTTTGTGGGCTCTGATTTGAACCTGCTCAATCTATGTGCCACTTGTGGTAGTCATTCTAAGCCAAGCACCGGGGTCTGGGCCACTTCTGGACCTGCTGCTGGGGATGATGCATGGTCCCCACGATGTAGTCATAATGTCTGAGTTTCAAAACTAAAACTCTTTGCATAGCATAATAGCATTTCGGGGGTGGGGGGAATGAACAGGCCCCTAAAAGGAAATGGTTTCTTATTTACTAAAGTAGAATCTGATAAGTTAATAAAGCCTAAAACCTTTTTAAAAGGAAAGATGTAATCTGCTTTGTGTTTGTGGTGGGATCTATCTTGAGATAGTTGGATAAATTATTTGAAAAGTGCTTCATAAATTAGAAAAACAGTGCATCCTCCTTTGAAAACTTACAAAAAGTACAGAAGGGTGAGAGACACACGTCCCTCTCTGTAGTTTCCCAGGGACCTCCACTGTGGGAGTTTTACACACACAGTATATTGTCCTGCGCAGAAAGTGGTCCTTCACGAAACTGTCAGGCACTTCTTTTTTTTTTTTTAAAGATTTTATTTATAAGAGAGAGAGAATGAGAGAGAGAAAGCACGAGAGGGAAGAGGGTCAGAGGGAGAAGCAGACTCCCCGCTGAGCAGGGAGCTCGATGCGGGACTCGATCCCGGGACTCCAGGATCATGACCTGAGCCGAAGGCAGTTGCTTAACCAACTGAGCCACCCAGGCGCCCACTGTCAGGCACTTCTGTTCCAGTTAGTGCCCTAGGTGCTAGGGCTGTGAAGTCCTAGCCTGGATGGAGTTTGCAGCGCATGGGAGGAACACTTGGATTTCAGAAGTGACAATTGCTCTGAAGTAAAATTGACCAGGGTCAGCTGATAGAGAGCCAAAGAGAATTCTTGCTTTTCATGTAGAGGCCAGGGAAGACTCTGCGGAGGGGACCTTGAGCAGAATTAAGAAATCAGGCAGATAAATCCTGGGGAAGAGCATTCCAGTCCAGAGAAGGGAGGGATGCTCTCAAGCTTTAGTGAGCGTGCAGAGCACCTGGCTGCCCTTAAAGGCAGGTTCTGACTCAGGAGGGCTGGGGTGGGGCCCGAGACTCTGCATTCCCAACTCCCTCCCGGGAAGGAAGGGCGATGCTGCTGGGGCCTGGACCACAATATGTGTAGCAGTGTTAGAGGAGTAGAAAGGAGGCCAATGATGTTTTCAAATGCCCTCTTCAGTTTTAACAGAAATGTTCTCTTTTCACCAAATATCCTTTTGGTGAGAACTTACAAGTTTCCGTCATTCTTTGAGGTCTGTCCAAATCTGGTGGAAGGGCTTAGGATCCCTAAAAGCCACTTAACCACCTCTCGGCCTTGAGCAAGCTCAGTTCTCTCAGGATCGAATGGAGGATAGGAACTGCACTCAGCTCCCTGGCCGTCCCCAGGAACAGGAAGCTAACTGACTGAATGCTCTTAGCACGGGCGCTTGACGTGTGTGCAGTACGTGCTCAGTCGCCCTTCCCTATTGTTAGGCGAGTTTTCCTTTTCAGTGTGAGCCTGTGCCTCGTCACCCACCTGCACAGCTCCTCTCTGATGGAGCCCCTGATCTGGGGAAGAGCAGCAGGGGTGAGCCGCAGGGGGGGCAGCTTGCCCCATAAGCCTTTCTCTCTGCCGAAATAGGTTGTGGCGACGACAATGGCCCTCATCCTGTCGAAATCAGCAAAGTGAAAGAGAAAGAATTTACAGGACGCTTTCTAAAAACATGACTCTCCTGTGCCCTTTAATAAACTCCTTTCTTAAGAAAAAGATTTTTATTCCTTTAACTAAAAATGGAATATCAAAATGTTGGGTCAAAGCTTTATTATTTTATCATCTTCCTGGGGGTCTGTCGTTGGTTAATATAAACTTTAAAGAAGTCTCACTGTGGCTGAGCTGATCGTTAATTCTTTCCGCATGCCTGACATCCTGGCATAAACCCTACCATGGCTCGGTCGGCACCAGATGATTGTGGCTAGTTAGCAAGCACCAGCGCTTTGGGCCTCTTAGATGCTGTCGGGGCCTCGTGCGGTAGAGGTGATGGGGTTGGTGCTGCATTGAAAGGCCTTTTTCTGGGGGTCTCCGCTGCAGCCTCGCTGATGGGAACACATGCACAAGAACTGGGCCACCATCCAAGCAGACGCATGGGCACTGCGACATCCCAACAGCTTACGCTGGAATCTTCAGGAAGAACCTCTTGCTGGGAGCTTTCGGGTGCTCCTGGGACACACATTTCTTATGGGTTGGGCAACTGTTTTTCCCCTTCCCAATGGCTTCGAAGCCTCAAAATGGAAGGTGGCTGGTGGGAGCTGGCCAGACAAGAAATCCCCACTGAGAAGGGAGAAGACAACAGGTAGCAAGGGGAGCAAGGGTGGCAGGACGCCCCCTGGGGTAGGGACAGACAGGCCACGGTTCGGCTCCCCGAGGCCTCCCCATGTTCTAAGAGGCCTTACAGGGTCAAATGGTGTTTGCTCTACTATGTTTAAATCAATACAGGTTTCCGTCGAAAACTGGAAAGTTCCCACTATGGGAGTAAGCTTCAGTTTTTCTAACAAGGTAGTGGTAGAACCTCTGGTTTTCCTGCCCACAGGCCTCAGTCAGGCTCTTTCTCCTTCGACAGTGAATGTGTCAGTCTTACTCAAACGCCACACGCACACACGTGCACACACGCTACCGCAGCAGCCAGTCTGTGGGCTTTAAACCGCTCTACGAACACTGTGGGCCAGCACGGTCGCCAGCAAGGCAGAGCAAACGGGGCATTGCTGTGAAGTGGGAGGAAGTCTGACCAGTCGAAGTGAGCAACGTATGAGAATCCTCAAATGAGTGGGGCGCACGCCTGGGCATCTGCACTTTAAAAACCCCCCTGCATGACGTGTCCACGCCAGGGGTGGAGAAGCACCGAGAAACATCTGCACGGGTAAGTTGGGAGTAAATGCTATTAGGATGCTTGATCGTTCACATTTCCCTTTATGGTCATTTTCAGATGGCAGGATAGGAAAAGCCCAGAAGCGCAACGTATCCGTGTGCCCCCTTCCTGTCGCCATTTTCCAGTCTGATGCTAACGCCTGCATCCGTGACCATCTGGTTTCTGCTGGAGCACCTCTTAACCAAGCAGCCTCTGGCCCGGGGCAGGGGACAGTCAGTCGAGTTGCATCCAGAAATTCCGGACAGAGATCCAGCCACCGCACTCTTTGGGTTCAGCAGGTTCCCTCCGTTTCCAGTAAGAGGCGTGGGTTGGGGTGAGGCAGGGTGCAGTGAGGGGAGGGATTTGCAGTCACATGGAGGTTTAAGCCCTGCCTCCACCTACGAGATCTGTAGTCTGTAACTGACTCAGACTCAGTTTCCTTGTTTCCAGAATTAATGTCAAGGTGGGGCAAGAGTTTATTAGATGCTCCTTTTGATCAAATAGAACTTTACCCTTTCTTCCTTGAGATCACTGGAGTTTAGGGGTGCCTGGGCTCAGTCGGTTAAGCATCTGCCTTCTGCTCAGGTCATGATTCCAGAGTCCGGGGATCCAGCCCCATGTCGGGCTCCCTGCTTAGGGGGGAGTCTGCTTCTCCCTTTACCCTTCCCCCTGCTCCATTTCTCTCTTGCTCACTCACTCTCTCTCAAATAAATAAATATAAAATGAAACAAAAGATAACTGGAGTTTAAATACTGAGGATCGAGTGATTGCCTCCCAGTCATCTTGAACATTCTTTCCTATCATCTTTAGCCATGAGTGCTCTATTTTCTCTGAATTTCGCATTTGCATCCCTACATTGTTGCAAACACATCCTATGACAGCAACATTCTGCCTTGGAGGCTCAGCCTTTAGCCACAGGAAGCTTTAGGATGATAAGAAGAGAGCAGAAATCCCTTATACGCTTGATATTGCCTCAGCGCCTGTTCTGTGCGGTTCTGCACAAGTGTGGGCATGGGACACTGCCTCCCATGCTCTCTGTGGCTCAGCTTCTGTTGGGTTTCCTCTGGGCTTCCCTCCGCCATCACCCAGTGCCATCCACTGCAAGCCTCTTGTCAGACTTCATGCTTTCCCCAAAGTGCTTAGCTTTCGCTGTTCGGCAGGAATTTCTTTGAATGGACTTTATTTTTTAGCGCAGTTTTAGGTTATGGCAAAATTGAATGGGAAGTGCAGAGAGTTCTCATGTATTCCCTGTTGGCCCAAACACAGTACCTCCCCACCATTGATGTCTGCCACACAGTAGTAGTGTATCTGTTACGATGGACGAACGAACCTACATGAGCCCGTCATTACCACCTGAAGTCCATAGCTCACATCAGGGTTCACTCTTGGTGTTGTACATCCCATGAGCTTTGACAAATGTATGATGGCATGTACCCATCATTATAATATCATACAGAATAGTTTCACTGTCGAAAACCCCTGTGCTCTGCGTCTTCACCCTTCCATCCCCCAACCCCTGGCAACCACTGATCTTTCTTATTGCTTCTGCAATTTTGCCTTTTCCAGAATGTCCTGGGGTTGGACTCACACAGTATGTGTAGCCTTTTCGGGTTGCTTTCTTTCACTTAATTATTTGCTTTTAAGTTTCTTCCATATCTTTTTTTTAAATTTTATTTTATTATGTTAATCACCATACATTACATCATTAGTTTTTGATGTAGTGTTCTGTGATTCATTGTTTGCGTCTTTTTATGTCTCGGTGGCTCATTTATTTTTATCACAGAATAATATGATTTCACTGTATGGATGTGCTGCAGTATATTTATCCCTTTATCTACCAAAGAATATCTTGGTTGCCTCCAGGTTTGGCAATAAGCAAAGTCGTTATAAACATTCATATACAGCTTTGGTGTGGACATAAGTTTTCAGGTCTGGGTAAATACCAAGGAGCATACTGGATCTTACATAAGAGTATGTTTAGTTTTGTAAGAAACTACCGAACTGTCTTGCCAAGTAGCTGTACCACTTTGCATTCTCGCCAGTGATGTCTGAAAGTTCCCATTGTTCCACATCCT